TCTAATACAGCCCAGGAAATTATATAATAGTCTTGTGGCAATGAATAAAACTTAATTTATGTCGAGAGACATGAAAAAAGAAGTTGTTACCGTCATCATCATGTATTGATATACTAATTACTTTTTGTAAAATATTATTTTCCTTTAGCCACTTTAGTTACTAGGTTCGTGTACAGAGGGCGAAGTGTTCTCACAAGCGCTGATGAGAAAATCTAAAACCATTAAAATTCACATTGTTACAAATTGTTGCTCTATGATCCACAGGATAATTTATGATTAACGTTCATGAGGGGGGGATAACAAAGAACTAATATAGCCTTGTTTTGCTTCAGTTAGAATGTTGTTCTTAATTAAAATTTACTTTCGGGAATTAAAAGACGATAAATATTTTAGAGAATAGTAACTTGAATAGATATGTCTCGAAAATAAAATTGAAAAGAAAAAGGGGCCATTTGGAGATGTAAGTAGTTTGGAGACGTTATTTGGAGAAATGAACTGGCAAACAAACCACTTCGTTTAGTAAATATAGTCATTACAGACTAAACGAAATATCCTAGGATGACGATAATTAAGATAAACAACATTGTATATTTATAACAGAAGGGGACACAGATAAACGTTTCGGAATTCTACAGATTCCATCTTCAGTAACAACATTGTATATTTATAACAGAAGGGGACATAGATAAACGTTTCGGAATTCTACAGATTCCATCTTCAGTAACAACATTGTATATTTATAACAGAAGGGGACACAGAGAAACGTTTCGGAATTCTACAGATTCCATCTTCAGTATCTAACACAAAATGAAAGAATTACATCATTCTTAAGTAAATAACTAAGCCCAACAAACTTGCGAAATTCCTGGTACCTATACTACAGCCACTCACTACGAATGAATTCACTATTTACAATACTTTGCAGTTTGCACGTGAATTAAATCAACTACCCCCCTCCAAAAACCACTTTATGGCTAGCTTTGATATTACTCCCCTCTTTACAAATATACCTTTAAATGAAACCGTTGATATTTGCATGTCTAAACTTTCACCTAATAATATTTCGCTGAATGTCTTTGCTGAACCTCATATTAAGACCATTTTGGATTTTACAATCAAGAGTTTACATTTCCTAGTCAACAACAAATAGATGGCGTAGCGTTGGGCTTCCGCTAGGTCCAATGTTAGCTAATATATTTCTCTCGTATCACGAACAGAAATGAATTGACGCCTACCCCGCTGAGTTCAGACCTATCATTTACAGAAGGTATGTAGACAACACTTTTATTATTTTTCACAACAAGGATCACTGCTCTAAATCCTTAGAATACCTGAACTCACAACATCCTGCCATTAAATTCACTTGCGAGATTGAAAAATAATAATAATTTACCTTTTTTTAAGATATCCTCATTAACCATAACACTAGCGGATTTGGTACATCAATATACAGAAAAAAGACGTTTACTGGACTCCTAACACAATCTGACAGCTTTAACCCGCTAACGTACAAACGTATTATTGTAACATATTGTTACACCTTCGTTCGTTAGTTAATTTTCCGTAAATTCGTTCCGACGAAACTTTAGCGACACAAGTCTTTTCTTAAATAAAACTAGTTTATTCTTTCTGAATATAACTTTGCGATACACTTAATTTCAACAGTCGCGCTATAACAAACGCTATAATTCTCAACGAACGTCTCACGTGCTCAACAATATTCTCTCTCCGCAGTTCAATTACACACACACTGTTCCGTCACGTTGTGACTGTCTTATATATACAAGAGTAACACATATTTAGTAAACGCTAGAGCATTCATGAAGGAACAGGATATTTCTAGAAGGACGTGGCGTGATACTAGTCACTTGACCTCGCTGACACAACAATATTTATTAAACAGAGCTTATAACCTGTGTGTTCCGCATTCTATAATTTACACTTAGAAATTTCTCTCATACGGGATACTTTAAAACGTAACGGCTACCTACAACATTTGTTAAAAAAAGATTATTAATACGTTTTTAACTAAGAAACTCACTAATCTACCCAGGATACCAACTGTACCCAAACTTACTATACACTCTTGTCTTACCAACTGCACCCAAACTTACTATACACTATTGTCTTACCAACTGCACCCAAACTTACTATATACTCTTGTCTTCCATACATTAGTAAGCAAAGCTTAACTTTAAGAAGTCAAATTAAAAGCGTAATTCATCGTTACTACCCCAAGTTGATTTCAGATTAGTTTTTAAACCCACATCACACATAAAGGATTTTTTTCCACACTAAAGACCTTTTTCCAATTTATCTTTGTTCATGGCTTGTATATCTTTACACGTGTGGAGACTGTAAGGCCTCTTATGTTGGCAAAACCAAAGGTCATCTACTAGTTCGAGCCAATGAACAGGTGGGAATTTTCACACGAAAGAGTTGAGTAACCCCTGTTTTTCCTCTATACGCCAACATAGTGAAGAAAGAGGACACGAACATAACTTATAAAATTTCACGATCCTTTGCAAAATCAACACTGATCTGGAATTACTGATTAAAGAAACCCTCCACATTAAACAACTTTCACTAACACTGAATAACATGTAGTTTTCTTTTACATTACTCATTTGCTAATATTTACAGTGTTTTTGTTGTTATTCATGTAATTTCCACGTGTTTTAGTTTTGATTAAATTATCGTTATTGCATCAATGTATTTTAGTTAGTTACTTAAGAACTTAAGAAGTTACCTAAGAATACTTTTATTTTACGTTAGATACTGAAGATGGAATCTGTAGAATTCCGAAACGTTTATCTGTGTCCCCTTCTGTTATAAATAAAGTTGTTTATTTTAAGTATAGTTATCCTTTTTATTATGAAACTTTGTTTTCCTGCGAACACATAGACTACTAACATCCTAGGATGAGTTTCTAAGCATTCACTTAAATATATATAGAAGATGCAAATAACATATACTAGACATCTTAATAGTCTCGAGCTTCAAAAGTACAGTGAATTAATTTTCTTTGAGTTAGTATTTTACTATTGGAATCTTAAACATGGGCAGCGTATTTTAAGCTTGTCCCGAGAACAAAAATTAACTGAACTAACAATGGTATCGTAATTTGAGCTTTCTTAGCATTGTTCAAACAACTTGAATGCCTTAACTATATTCAGTTTCTTAGCAACGAGTAAACATCCTAAACATATTAATTCTACCGAGGTCTCTTAGCAACGTATGAACAGCTTAAATATTTTAGTTATATACACCTGGAAAAAAGTTAAGCAACTCCGTGTTTTTTTCAAGTGATTCATATTCGACGTTCTTGTGACTGATTATAAATTACCATTCAATCTAAACGTGTTTATCAAATGAAATTATGCATTATTGGGCACAAGAAAACAAGATTATCACCGTAAAATAACAATTTTTAATTTACATATCATGACATCAAAATATGGACAGTTTTCACGCTTAAAATTATCTTTAATACATATTGTCCGTAAAAGCTCAAAAACGTTATTGAATTGTCAAATCACATTAACAAAATGTCAATCATGACCCACACATTGATAATTAGTCATCGAAAAGTACAATATCGGGTAT